CGCCCACCAGTTCAGATTTATTTTAACTATTTCTGGTGGAATTGCGTCTGGGCCAGGTTTTTGTAAAGGGGAATCTACCCTAAATCACTGCGTGACTCTTATGCACCTTGTTAAGGGAGCTGCGGTGGCTCAAGTGGTTAAGACGCTGAACTGCAGGCTGTGGAAGGTCGGTAGTTCAGCAGTTCAAGACCCGAGTTGCCGCATGACGGAGTGAGCTCCCATCTCTAGTTCCAGCTCCTGCCAACCTAGCAGTTCGAAATCAAGAAATTACAAGTAGATAACTTCAGTGGGAAGGTAACAGCGTTCCATGTGCCTTGGTGTTTAGTCATGCTGGCCACATGACCACGGAAATGTCTTCGGACAGCGCTGACTCTTTGGCTTTGAAACGGAGATGAGCACCGCAACCCTAGAGTCGGATTCAACTGGCTTTCGAGCAAGGGAACCTTTACCTTTATCTTTAATAAGTATAAGAGACAAAAAGCACCAACGTATATGCAGCCTTTCTAGATCTAAAAGGTGCTTTTGATTCAATCATAAAATAACGTCTATGGGAGAAACATAAGCTGATGAGGATGGAACCGAGGCTTTTATATTTAATAATGAAGCTTGCTCATAATATGACCTGCCAAGTTAGACTTAACAACGTTGGTGACCTAACTTACAAAATCCCAATGAATATAGGAGACAAACAGGGCTGCCTTCTAGCGCCTTTTTTAATCCAATCTATTTATAAATGATTTGGCACCCGCCTTAGATCCGATCCATGGTCACAGTCCTAAACTTGGCTCGATCCACACCCCTTTACTCCTTCATGCTGATGACACAGTGCTATCGTCCCTAACTCGTACAGGGCTGAAACGCCTTTTGAAGAGCTTTGTAGACTATTGTGAAAAGAATAGGCTAGTTCTGAATTTTGAAAAATCCAAAATTGTGATCTTCAGTAAGATTTGGAAGCTGTCCAGATGGAATATCGGTGGCCATTTTATTGAACAAGTCAAAAGCTTTAAGTACTTGGGTATCCACTTTTACTATAACACCAGATGGGTCTATCATAAAGAGAGAGCAATTGAGGCAGTGAACAACATTGCTGCAGCTATTACACATTTCCATTATACCAGGGGCAACCAGTATGTGCTGGCGGCCCTTAAAGTTGTTAATGCCAAATTAGCTACTCAGTTATTCTAAGGAGTACCAATCTGGATTGAAGCCTTAAAAGGGGACTTGGAAAGAATACAGTCCAGATTTTTGTCGAAAATTCTTGGACTTCCCTCTTGTGTTCCTTACACAGCTTTATGCTTAGAAACCAATCAAAGGCATCTATTGACCAGAGGATGGCTGAGAACAAAATTAGTTTTGGCTTAAACTTCAGTTCCATGCTAAAGCTAAAAGTATTATTACTCACATGTTATCTGAGTCCCATCTCTCTCCATGGCTTAGATATGTAGAGGAGAAACTCTCTACGATAGGAATATCCCCAGATTATTTAGCCCCCTTTTCAGATAAACAAGCCTATGCTATTATCAAACAAATATTTCTTGATATCGAAAGGCAAGAACTTTGGGAATCTGCAGCCAGCAGATGCTCCCCAAGTAGGTTGGGGATCTTTGACATGGGCTCTATTGCGAAATATCTATGTTTAACAGCCCCACATCATCGCAGAGCATACATGCTTGCACGCTTTAGTGTTCTGCCATCGGAGGTGCTTTTAAGGAGGTACTGCCAGATACCATATGTAGACAGACTTTGTCCTTGCTCTCTAAAAGATATAGAATCCACTACACAAACCATACTTCATTGTCCCTTTTATAGGGATACTCGATCTCCACTTTTAGATGATTGTCCCTTTTATAGGGATATACTCGATCTCCACTTTTAGATGATTGTCCCTTTTATAGGGATATACTCGATCTCCACTTTTAGATGGTAAGAGCTGGCATTCTGATGACTCAATTATTCACTTTCTTCTGTTTAATTCTAATTGTGAAATAATGGAGGCTGTTGCAAATTTTTTACATTATGCAATCAGAAGACAAGGTTTGAATAGCCAAGTGTAAGTGACTGATGTATCTTAGTATTTTGCTGTATTCCCTTAATGTTTTGTGCTTTCAGTGCCAATAAAAGACTGTGTGTGTGTGAGTCTTGTTTCTGCCTTATGCTTTGTACTGAAATTTACTAAATTATGGCATCACAGATTCCTTCATTTGATAAATGCATGGCTGAAGTCTCTGAGTCAGTTGCTGTGCACTCAATTTCTGAGCAATGTACAGAGTTCAAAGTAGCCAAGTGTAACCAGCAATCTTCTTCTCACTTCGAACTCATATCCTACAAGTGAGTACACATACATTTTGAGGCCATGACCCCAAAGAAAATTCACAGTTATGTCACCTAGTATTTTATATACCTTGCCTACTTAGCACACTTCTTAGAAACTCCACCTTAAAAACACAGACATTCAGAACTAATTATTAATAAATCACATAATTAAGTTAATGGGAAATGACTGCATTCCTGTGCTTCGTTAATTTCTGTTCTTCAGGTTCAACTTGCAAAACAGATTTGGCTTCAACAAATGATCTTCAGATTGCTGAAATACACCTTTAACTGCACCAGAAAGGACTTTCCTCTTTCTAATTACAAATCTATCCATGGCAAACTGAACGGAATGGTGGACTGAAAAAAAATCAAAGGAAAATATAAGGATTCTGAAGGACAAGAAATTACATATAAAAAATAGGAGGGGTAGCCATGTTAATCATATAATCCCTGCAACTTCTAAATTTGCAGAGTGGAATGACAGCCCCTGGGGATAGGCTCAGTGCTCTGTGACTGGAATGACAGCCCCCAGAGTGGAATGATGGTCCCTAGGAAGAGAATCAGTGCTCTTGGACTGGAATGACAGCCCCTGGAAGTAGCAGAAGTGTTCCAGGACTGGAATTACAGCCCTCAAAGTGGAATGACAGTCCCTGGGATTAACAAAAGTATTCTGGGACTATCATTCCACTCTGAGGGCTGTCATTCCAGTCCCAGAACACCTCTGCTATTTCCAGGGGCCGTAATTCCACTCTGGGGGCTGTCATTCCAGTACCAGAGCACAGAATCTCTCCCTAGGGACCGTAATTCCACTCTGGGGGCTGTCGGTCTAGTCCCAGAGCACAGATTCTATTCCCAGGGACTGTCTTTCCACTCTGGGGGTTGTCATTCTAGTCCCAGAGTAGCCTATCTGGACCCAAAGACCTTAGTGGAAAAACCATTCCACATTTTCTTTGGAACTGTTTTTGTGCTGCAACGTATTTCAGTGGAGCTCATGCAAGTCAATTGCAATAAGCATTCCTGGCTCCTATTATCTCCAATGGGCCTTCATATCCTCCTTATTCTGCATCTTTTTGAAATGACAAAAATCCCCTTAAATAATTTATAATTAAGAGCTACTATAAAATATCCTATCTGTTTCTTCTGAACCTTCTGTTTCCTAATCAGTGCAATAATGACACATTTGGTCTTTAATTACGTATATAATGTAGATGCCAGGCTTAATCTCTTGGGCTTCATTGCAGGGCGGTCAACTACAGCAGTAGTAGTGTTCTACAGTGATTTCATACACACAAAAAACCCTCAATAAACTTTTAATGTCTTCTATAGTTTAGGAATGCACGTTTGTTTGGGATCTCCAATATTGTTATGTCACATATTTGGGGTCATTATTGTGTCTGGATGACATTGGCATTGGTTTCATTGCAAAACTCACCTCAGATCCATTAGGACTGCTAAAAATGTCCTGTCCTATGTGGAAATGGGCTGCTGATGCTTTTCATGACATGGAGGTAGATAGCCTCACCTGGTAAATAACATCCCATTAAGCCTCTATTAAAAGGACAGGGTATTTTTTTTTCTCCAGGCACCTAGCAACCCTGTCACCAATTGGGATGAAATTCTCATAAATTATAGCGCTCTCCCAAGGGACCTTCCCTAACTTTGGCAAAAGAGAAGTTTCCCACTTTGCAACCCATTACAATTCTCCCTTGCAGAGTGGGTATGCAGAGGTATCGTGATGGTTTCCCCCCCTCCAGCTCCTTGGGGCATTGGGATCTTGATGCTGATGCATATGAGAGAGACAGGGTACTCCTATAAACATTATAAATACATATATGCACAGTCATGCCTTCCATTCATTCATTTTGGGATGTTTCTTCCAGCCCGTATCTATACACAAGCTGGTGGACTTTTATAAAAACAATCAAATGCATCAAACAGCAAAGCACAGCATGGTAAAGATTAGGAAGATGCAAGCTTTAACCGCCCTCCGCCTGCTTACTTGGTTCACCCACCGCTATCCCTACTTTATATCCATTAAAGCAAACTCTGTACAGCTAAGCCAATGAGCCTGCAGTATAATTGATTGGTACACAAATATCACTTGGGGACACCGCTGTGTTCAGAACATGGGCAAGGTGTTCTGATTATAGGAAGCCCCTGTCAAGCACATACCTGCTGCTGAGTCTCCTTTCTCCTAGTGTTCCTCCTCTCCAACTCATCACCTGAGGAAAACACCTTATCGGCTGTGATAGCAAATGGAAACTGCACACACTGCAAGTGCAGTCGCACTTGTCGCAGCATTGCGTGTGGGGGGGAGGTCTAGTTCAAAGGGACTGATTACCCTTCTGACATTAACATGGTACATTCCATTTCACTTTTAATTGGTCACTTTCCAAATGCACATTCCTTACTACAGATCTTGTAATTCACTCTTCTGGTTTAATCCAGAGGGCCCATTTCCTTGCTATCCTTCAGACTGATGCATTGAGAATTCTCTCTTTTTGCAAAGTTATTTTTGTCTTCAGGATCCTCACACCTATACAACTACCACCATCTCCCTTCTTCACTTTACCAAATTTCAGAAATGTTCTCTGAGATTCCTTGTTTGGTGTCCTTCATCGACAGCCAACAGAATAATTGTTGATCCAACTTTGTACTCCCTTAAAGTTCTAAAATATTTACCTTACCTTAACAGTACTCAGAAGAGCTACTTCACTAGCTGTGGACAACTGGAGTGATTTCTCAGGTTGTTTGTGAATATATTTGCCTGTGACTCTACAGTCCGATCTCAAAACAAACACATACCTGTAGGGTGTAGCAGCTTCTCCTTGTGGTGTGGCTTTTCCTATTGTTGAGTTCTTGCCTAACACCACGGGAAACAAAAGCCCATTAAGAAAGCCTGTGAATTTTTCTTGGGCAGGTCCAAGGATAGGTGAGTAGTTGCTTTCTAATACAAGCATGGGCAGAATGGAAACTAACAAAGGAGGGAACATCTGTTTTAAATCCTTGAAATTGCTGGGCGTGGCCATTATTCTGCTCTGTGGGCCACTGTGACCCAAATGACTCAAGTGAACCATTAGGTACTGAAACATTAGATAACTCAATAGCTCCCTTCCATTGCTTATGAATCCATCCTGCAGGGATCTCTGCGTGAAATCTGGAGCTGCAGATTATGTGTTGAGAGTTGGTCTGAGGCCTTTTCCTCCTAGTGGGTTAGGGCAACTGCCAGTATTTATTTATTTATTCATTGGATTTCTACCCCGCCCTCCAAGGGCTCAGGGCAGCTTACATAAAATCAATAGTTTACAATAAAACATGAATATAAATTTAGATTAAAACAATTCTAAAATCATTAATTGTACAACATAATAAAGTGCTAGTGATGTTAATTCCAGACGGCTGTAATTAGGAAGACTCAGTCACAAATTATTATTATAATTATTATTATCATACATGGTGTTGCGCGTTGTACAGCAAGAAGTTCCTAAGATTGTCTGGCTGCCTGAAGTACTAGCTCTTTTTAGCATTATGCACCATTAGCTGGTGAGCTAGTTATTTCTGGGGCTGAGAGACTACTTTTAGGGCACCTGCATGGGAGTGGTCATTCATGCCCATACCGTATTGTACCTAGGACTACAAGTAGCATACCAGTACTAGCATGGTCTCATTGTGCAAGGCAGGAAAAGCAAGATGTCAGTTTCCTCAGTGCCAGACGCTTTCAATATTTTTAAGCAATATGTTCCCATGCTATTTCTACAGCTCTGAAGTGTAAAGTGGCAGTCTGGGAAATTTCCTTTCCAGCCTTCTACTTAGGAGAGGCACAGAAACCATAGTACATAGAAGCACTGATAAAAAGTTATCCCTTATTACACATGTATAAGCTGGATGCAGCACAAAGTCACTGGAGGAACACATCAGGGGAGAAGAGGGCGTGAAACCCATCTAAACTATTTGGTTAAGAGATTCTTTTTCTTGAACAGAGAGTTTTTGTTTTTATACTTGGTTTGTTATGGGATAAAATAAACCATCACTTCAAATACTAAAGTGTTAGTCCTGTTAAAAGACAAAAATTAACAAATATAGCTAAGGCGTAATCTCCTTTTTCAAGAAACGTATTTCATGAAGAATCATAAGGACTATATGATGAATACATGGTTAGGGAATAATTTCTTTCTAAGGCAAAGTATTATTTCCCTTGCACCTAATTAGCCCTGTTAATATTTTGCTTGGGGTCCCACCATCCCCTTTGTATATTCAGTCAAAACTCACAGATAAAACTGTGATTTCAGGGAAATGGCATCACTTCTCGCATTCCCGTTGTACCTGTCAGCAGGTGTGTCATGGAAGCCCTGTGCTTTAAGTACCTGAAGTATTTGTAAATAGTTGAAGGGCTGTCACTTAGAGGAGGGCAGGGAGCTGTTCCTGTTGGCAGCAGAGGATAGGACTAGAAATAATGGGTTTAAATTAATGGCGGGAAGGTACCAGCTGGATCTCAGGAAAAACTTTTTTACAGTAAGACTTGTGCAACAGTGGAGTCAGCTGCCCAGGGAGGTGGTGAGCTCCCCCTCACTGGCAGTCTTTAAGCAGCGGCTGGACAAACACTCAGTCAGGGATGCTCTAGGCTGATCCTGCATTGAGAAGGGGGTTTGTAACGATATGAGCTTATGTTTGTATTTCTGTATAGTGTTCTGGTTACCTTTTATTCTGGGGGTTTGGGGGGGGGGGGGAATCAATGCTGCATGGATTTCACTCCCACCTTGATGCCACAGCATGGGGGATGTATTCAATAGGGTGGTTTAATTTTTCAAAGTGCACATTAGCCACTATTGCAGCACACCGCTCCTGGGAACCCCCAGAATTAGCATTTCTGGGGATCATTTTGGGCTGCAGCAGGAGGTGAGAAGGTTCACTCCCTGGACAGAAACCCTTCTGTCCACAGAAACGCTCCACTGAATCCAACCCACTGTGCTGGAGGTAACCACTAAATCTGTGCCTTAGACAAAGGATGATCTTGCATGGCAAGAACAGGTATGCAACAGCTTCAAGAAATGCTAGATGAACCAAACTAAGTGAACAAAATTTAGCTGTTTACCAGAGGACAGCTATGGCTCTGTTTTCAAGGTTTTGGGGCAAAAAAAATCAGTGTGACCACACAGTTCTGCATTGTAACATACTTCAACCTTTATTAGGAAAGGAAGGATTTAAGTAACAGAAAAAGCCATAACCTGCATGTTGGTATATTAAAATTTCTCACATATTTGTGTGATATTTAGTTTTACTTCCTCTGTGTAACTACAAGAGATAAAGTCTTCCAAATGTGCAAATCTCTGACATTTCCTTTTGTTATTGCTCTTGATGCTGGTCTTCTGTTTAAAGGTTAATTGTTAACCTGCGTATGAGCATGGTGGGAGTCCTTTTACTCCAAGTCCAGTTATCTGTTTTCAAAAGGGCAAGAAAGATAACACACAGTCATCCATGTATCTGGTAATTAACCAGAAATTATTCAAACTGCATCTATTTTGATATTTTGTTTTGTTCCTCAAGGACTACAGCAGCAAAAATTCAACAGGAATTCTGGCCTTCAGACACCCACCCTCCCACTTGGCCCCTCCCACTATTTGTGGAAGTCCACCAACCCGCAAGGGCAGAGTTTCCAAGGTCATGGCCTGCTGCAGCGGGAAGGGGGAGGTTGGATAGTTTTGTGCGAGGGCCCCTCTGTTTGCATAGCACAGGATCCAAATCAAAAAATTGTAAAATGAAAATCAAACATAGTTTACACAAGTTTTTTTAAAAATAGCTTGTCATATTCTTGGCCCAGACAACTTTCCCCATCCTTTCAAAAGCACTGAAACGACTGAATCACCTTGAAAACATTGCCAGCCTGTGGCTCCCATGGAGCCTCACCCATTTCTTGGGAAGCAGAAGTGACGTACAATTCCGAATAATCAGGCCCGCCAAAACAGCAGGAAGTAGTCTGAGCAACAGGCAACTTCACGGTCTGGATCCGTGTTCCTATTAAAACACATATATTCCTTCTTAAAACCTAACTGGACGATCAGTTGAACTGTGCCCAATCTGCAAGAGTCCCACAAACCCCCAATTCAGCACTCAGTTGTGTTCTACACCATTCCACCATAATTGAATCAGAAGACGCAGGGCTCTAGTCGGGGGGGAGCTCTCAGGTACGGAGCTCCGGAAGAGAACCTCTAGGGGGCGGGGCGGTCACGTGGTGAAGCCCCGCCCCCTTCTTTACCCCGCCCTCTGCTTCGATCCTCATTCCGTTTGGGAATGAGGATGAAGCAGGAGGGTAAGTAGCCGGGCCTTCTGACACACTTCCGGTGATGTCAGGGGGTGTGGCCTTCTGTCACTTCCGGTGATGTCAGGGGGCGTGGCATATGCAAATAAGTTATGCTAATGAGTTATGCTAATGAGCTCCGGCAGCTCTTTTTCTACAACAAGACCCCTGAGAAGACGTCTTACCGCCGGGGGACGGGGGGGACGGGGATGGGATAACAGCCTTGAATACAAGAACATAACCATTTATTCCTTTTCAAAAGAAGAAACTAAACTAATAAAGGGAACATATTCTCCAATGCTGCAGAGAGATTTCCACAGATTTTTCAAAAGGAAGTTTCAGGACATCAAGAGGCAAATATCAAGGGCAGGGCAGACATGGTTGACTTACTAGTGTTCATCACTTTTGAATGAAATTTTAAAGGATTACATGATGTATTTAAGTGACACAGCAGGGGAATATCTGGCCGCTAAAGGAGTAAGAAAAAAAATTTGAACTGAAACTTGGAAAAAAGTTCTCAAAATAGTATACACAGCGTGTGTGAGACATCACAGGACGCACATAATACAACTTTCTTAGAACATATATTGTCTCTCAGGTAACTGCACAAACTCATGCCGCTCAGCTTTAACATAAAGAAATCCCATCTGGTGTGAGAATGGTTTCAGTAAGTTTTCAACATACAATACATGCACATTTAATTGACTCCCCAATATCAGAGGTAAGTGCCGGAGGCTAAAGATGATGTGTGTAGTGTGGATTTGGGTATCTGCCCCTTTGCCACATATTATACTTGGTATTTAAGGCCTACGACCGCCTGACATAAAGCCAGAAGTTTCCAGTCTTGCTTTCTGAAAAGGAAACAGGATTTTTAAAGTTTCTGTGAAGTCTTCCTCCGTACCCCCACCTAAAGAAGGGAGATGATTGCCACCTGGGAATAGGCCTTTCTCCATGGTAATGCTAATTTATGAACTCTCTTCCTTGGGACATTCGTTTGAGGGCTTTCTTGCTTGTGTTTACCATCCAAAAACTTTCATCTGCTTTTGGAGGTGCTATTGGCTTTTCTTTTAACGATGGTCTTGTGATTATATATTTGATTTTTATCCTGCCCTTGCCACAAAGAGCACAAAGTAACACACATGACATGCTACATAGCTATTCCCTCCCATTTTATCTTCACAACCACCTAATGAAGTATATTGAGAAAGAGTGACTGGCCCAAAAATACCCACCAAAGGTCATGGCACAGTAGGGATTTGAACTTGGTTCTCCCGGGTCCTAGTTTAGATCAGGGGTCATTTCGTAGAAAAAGAGGTGCAGGAGCTCATTAGCATAACATATTTGCATATGCCCCACCCCCTGACATCACCGGAAGTGTGTCAGAAGGCAACGCCCGCCGCTCAGGCTCCACTGGACTCTTTTGGATTGCTAGCCATTGGGGCGGGGAGGACACATGCAGATCTCTCCTGGCAGAGGAGGGAGAGCTTGTACCTGAATAAAACTTGGTCTTAAAGGTGCCACGGGACTGTTTTGGACTAGGGGGCCCGGGGGGGGGGGTGGCTCTGCAACCTACCTGGCTTCTTCTTGCTCTGACTGAGGGCTGCTGGGAGCAGGGGGTGGGGCTTGTTGCATGTGCCCGCCCCCTGGGCTCTTTACTGCCAGAGCTCCGCTCCTGTGCGCTTCTGCAGGAAATGACCCCTGGTTTAGATACACTGTGACTATTTAACTGTTTGTGCATGCTGAGGTCTTAATCTGCTTCCTCTAGCATGATTTCTATGCAGTAGTTATCAAAACTGTTTTTGATCTTCTACTTTATGTTTCCTGCTTTCATTCTGGTTGTTTTTAGCTTGATTATTTTGGTTAATTAATTTTCATCATGATTCACTGTTGAAAGGCACTTCGTACAAATATAGTAGTAATTACGACTGTTATGAAAAATGCCTCTTTCAACTTTTGAACCATGTTTTCATTGAGAGACTCTTGGGACAACATGGGACATTCTTGTTCAAGAGTGCACTAATCGGTCAACACTATTTGCAAATTAGTATTCTCGAACAGACCGTTTCTTCCAAGCCCATGTAAATAATTTTAACATGCAAACTGACAGCAGTGCCTGATATTGTGATACTGCAGCATACGTAAATGTGTTAGAAGAAGGCTGACTTTGCTCTCACCTTCTCTTCTCCTACATGAAACCCTCTGACTAAAGCTGACCAAGCTTTATTTACACCACCTGCCCTTACACCTATCTGTGTATCCATCTTTTACTATGAATGTCCATCTTTCAGACAATGTTAAGATTTTTCACATCATGTGTGGGTTCACCCCAACCTAAGCGTGACTCAAAAAAATCTCACATCAGGTATGAGGGAGCTTATTTCCCAAGTGTACAGGACCCTGATTCAGATCGGGACTATGGCACAGGGGGGAGAGGGGGCTTCAGTTTTCTCCCTGCCCCATCTTCCCAGCAGGGGGGTGCATGTGTATCCCATCAGGACATGTGAAGTCCCTTCTCCCCACTGTGCTGCGTTTTCCCTTTGCAACTGCCTACCTGTCTCAGGGTCAATACGGATCACTCGTCCTCCATTGTAACAGGCAACCCAGAGTTTCCCTTCTGTATCAATACTCATCCCATCTGGGATTTTTTCTTCCTCTTCCATCGTATATATACTTCTGCGGTTGGCTGTAGAGAAAGAATGACATGATTTAGGGGATAAATCACACATTTTTTCCTTCATAAGTCAACAGTTCTCTGAATCAAGAAAGGCTAAGAACCATAGAGTGATTTTCCTGAAAGCTGGTGTTGGGTAATCATGTTACAGCAGTGTGTCGGGAAAGGAAGCAGGACCACGCCCAGCTTAAAATCTTCCAAGAAGATTTACTCAGCACATGGAGCCGGAATAAGATGGAAGCACAGTATGGAACTGGCATTCCTGCCAACTATGGCACAGTGGGCACGACTGTTTAATGAGGTCATGTACAAAATTCCTGCCATCAGACTGGAGGACTGGGTTGTGAATTCCTTCCTCTGTAAAAATCAGCCCAACTCAATATTGAGAAATTTGGCCCTCTGGCTAAATTTCCATGAATATTATTTCGTATACATGAACAGCGTTTCATAAATGCCTCTTAATGAATTTTATCCTCTTCCTTTTCAATGTATTCTACATTTAATTCACTGGTTTAACTGTATCAGCGTAAAATTAATTGGCTGACAAGCTGTTTGGGAGTCGGTGCCTTACATCTGAACACCTGGGCTGGAGCCTATGAACAAGTTTCACCATGCTTATCTCTACTGTGAAGCACACATCCTCTAGTGCTAGAATAACCTTTAGCGCAAGATGAAAGTGCTAGTACAAGAGGAAGCATGTTTCATGGCAGAGATCCACAGAAAACTCGGTCATAGGATCCAAACCAAAATATATACAGGAGAGCATGTCACAACTGGCACCCCTTCATCCAGGGAGGAGGCAAACATAGATTCCAACTTGCAAGGTGACCATTACAGCAGAGGTGTGCATTTGGCAGAAACCGAGCAGAATAAATACCCCCAAAATATCTCATCTGGTATGTTATCCTCTTCCTTTCTGAATCAGGGGGGAACAAAGAAGAGGGGTTTAAGGCTAGCCCAGTGGGTCGCTGGTCCGCTGATCAACTTCCCTGGGAAGAAGACTTTAAACCTCCCTTCCCTTCTCTTTCTGATGCATGCTGCCACTGTGGCATGACTCAGGGAGGGTTTAAACTTTAAATACCTCTCCTTCCCTCCTTGAGTTGTGCCGCAGTGGTGGCACGCATCCAGGAGAAAAGGGAAGGTATTTAAAGGGACTACTACCTTCCCTTCACTCTATGACGTGTGCCGCCCTGCGGTGCGACTCAGGAAGGGAAGGTGTGGAGCCAAATATACTCAGCAATACGGATTATTTTCCAAATTCCAATATCACTATAATTCGGAAATATCAGTGTATACCAATATTTTTCGGGTTCGGTATACCCCTATATGACAGCAGGAAAGGATAGCAAATGGAGATATTACTAGCCGTACTGCCAATTGCAAATCTAGGCCTCCAAAGATTACACATTCAGTAGACACAAGTGATCAGTGTTTGAGCTAGGCTAGCAAGCCAAACTGGACTAGCTAGTTGGAAGACCAAACAGAGATAAGAAGCATGATGCTTTGTTATCAAAATGAAATAGCTTCAAAGGACAGTGGTATTGCACATCAATATTAGTAAGACCATCTGTAGATATTAACTTCAACTTGACTACACCTGAACGTAGTGCACAAAAGATAAGGTAACAGTTTCATCCTGCTTCTTGCTATCACAAATCCATCTGCTGACAGTATACATCCGAACAGCAGCTTTTCACTGCTTTATAACCATGGCTTTTCCAATAATAAGTACTCTTCGTAACATACAGCTACCAGGATCTGAAATATGAAATCTTTCCATTGGCAAAACCATGTGCGATCCTTTAGATCAATCCTAGGTTATTCACTTTAGCCGTGTCGCATACTCGAATACGGCAGAAAAGAGTTCCTTGATGGTGCATACGGCCCTTTCCCATGATGCAATCAAATTCAGTGCAATCACATTAAGGGATTCTCCAGTCCTCCTCTGCTGCATTTCCCCATCATTCGCCATAAACCACACACCAGCTGCACTCTGGAAGCAACAGCAGTGAAAATTACTCTCTAAAGACAAGCATCTTTTCTGCAGTAGTAAAGTAAGCAGGATGCAACAGCCATGCTGTAGCTAGGCAGATCTGGGTCTGATGTGTGGACGGGAAACCACCAAGGAATCCAATGTATATGGCTGGGGGCACCAAGGAAGGAAGGCAGTACAGAAGTGTAACTAAAGGATGAATGTTTGAATGTTTTTTATTTATTTAATCTATAAGTATTATAGGGAGCTGCGGTGGCTCAAGTGGTTAAGATGCTGAACTGCAGGCTGTGGAAGGTCGGTAGTTCAGCAGTTTGAGACCCAGGGGTGCTGCATGACAGAGTGAGCTCCTGTCTCTAGTTCCAGCTCCTGCCAACATAGCAGTTCGAAAGCAAGAAATTGCAAGTAGATAAATAGGTACCACTTTGGTGGGAAGGTAACAGCGTTCTGTGCGCCTCGGTGTTTAGTCATGCTGTCCACATGACCACAGAAACGTCTTTGGACAGCGCTGGCTCTTCGGCTTTGAAACGGAGATGAGCACCACAACCCTAGAGTCGGGTTCGACTGGCTTTCGAGCAAGGGAACCTTTACCTTTATAAGTATTATAATGTTGCAAATATTCATAAAAGCAGGTATGGTGCTTGACAGAAAAGCAGTTAAACATTTTATGGATCCCGAAACATGAAAGCTATACCGATCTGTCCTGTTTGCAGGTCATAGTCAAAGGCATCCACAGAGTACGAGAGGCTATCGATGTAAAAGAACGTTCTGTTATCCAGCGACCAGTCCAAACCATTGGAGATGTCCACGTTGTTAAAGTGTTTCACTACGGAGTGGTCAGGGAACAAGGTAAACAGAGAACCTTGTTTCCTCTCTAGCACAGCTGGCCGAAGTTCATTTCCCATTGTGCCTGGAAGAACCACAGATTTTGGACTGTTAGCAAGCAGAGAGCAAAAGAAATAGAGTGATAAGGTGGGCCAGGGCCTCTTCAATAAAAGACAGGCTCCAATATGAGTTTTCCTTAGACTCAGTAGCAAACTACATATAATTAGGCTTGGACTCACCAACTGAGTGTGGAAAAACGAGACAAATCCCCCTTTGGTAAAACAAACTCCAATCTCAAGTCTTATGAGTTGGATGTGGTAGAAAAATCTAAGAATACGGTGACTTATAGTACTCCCGATTTAGTCAGAAAATCTACTCATGAAGTCTCATAAGGGAATGTTCCATCAATTAAACAGGATAACTTAAAATGACTATCTGATGGTACCACAATAAGCACTTTGTCATGGAATATAGTTGGTTGCTACTCAACTCCTCAGATTAAGAAATTTTTAACTACTTCTGATATTATATTATTACAGGAGACATGGACATCTGATAATATATCCCTTCAAGGATTTAAGATCTTTATGTTAGGGGAGATAAAGGCGGAAGACTGAGGGGTGGGGTGGCATGCATGGTGCCTGTTAGGCTAGATCAGTGATGGCGAACCTTTTAGAGACCGAGTGCCCAAACTGCAACCCAGAACCCACTTATTTATCGCAAAGTGCCAACACGGCAATTTAACCTGAATACTGAGGTTTTACTTTAGAAAAAACAACTCATACATTAACTTAAGATGATCCAGACAAAGTAAGGAAAGCAATCCCAAATGCTTTCATTTACTTAAAATTATTTGGCAGAGAATTTGGTCTGGGCCTATCTGGGGCGATAGCACGCCTGCCCACAGAGAGGGCTCTGAGTGCCACCTCTGGCACCCGTGCTATAGGTTCGCCACCACTGGGCTAGATGCTACTTCCCTAGAAGTTCTAAAATGTAGACCTTTTTCCAATAGCTATACTGATATGCTTCAAAAGGTTTGCTTGTATTGTGGTTTCAGTGTATCTCCCTCTGTCTACTTTATCTTTTGTAATAGATTAGAATTGGAAGAAGCTTAACATTTTCATAGATACTCTTATGGCCCCGGTCACACGAGAGGTTTTGGGCTGGTAGAGGGACGGATCGGGGGCTCAGCAAACGGGCGCGATCCCACAGCAACATCTGGGAAGCGTGCTGCGCCCGTGCCCGATCCGCCCCTTCCACCCAAAACCCTGCTGCAAAAATGAACCACCTACCGTGGTGGTTCATCCGAGACGGCCGCATCAAAGCCGGCTGTGGGATCGCCGGCACGTCCTTTCGCCAGCGCATCCCTGGCTCCAGCCCAAACTGCGCATGCTCAGGCATGCGCAGTTCGGCAGCCTCCCCCTCCCGACTGTGGCTTTCTCCCCGGTATCTGATCGTGCCGGGGAGCAACGGCGCCGCGGCTAAGGGGATTCGTGGGATCCCGCCGCAGCGTCTCTATTTTGGTGTGGCTCTAATTTGCCGCACTTTGGCCGGTGTTTTCCCTTCCATGTGGCAGGGACCTTATGATGGATTATCCTTCCTTGCCTTTGATACTGGCAGTCTTTAAGCAGCGGCTGAACAAACACTTGTCAGGGGTGCTCTAGGCTGATCCTGCACTGAGCAGGGGGTTGGACTAGATGGCCTGTATGGCCCCTTCCAACTCTGGGATTCTACTAGCTGGTGATTTCTATGCAAGAATAGGACCAGATTACAGTATCTTTTTTCAGAGAAAGGCCAGGCAGAAATTAATTGATCCTGATTATCCTTTTTTCTTTTGTTGGAGCTCTAAAGATAAGATATCTAATAAAGCTGGTGAAAAACTGATGGTGATGGTAGAAAACAAAAGGTTTGGTCATCCTGAATAGTCAGGAGCAAAGTGGATTCTGGAGAAGATTTCACATATATTAGCGCTAGAGGGAAGAGTGTAATAGATTATTTTGTGGTATCAACATCTATGCTAAATTATGTTAGAAGTCTAAGGGCTGAAGATTTTCAAGACAGCGTTCATCTTCCACTCTGCCTTTTCACTGAATTACCATGTCACAGCTACCTGAAAGATCTCTGCAATTTAGAACTTGTCCAGGAAGAGAACACTCTCAAACCTTTAACATGGACAGCAACATCAGCAATATGCTCCAGACAAATCATAAATTCAGAACACTGCAGGACTTTACGTGCAAGATTTCTAAGTACTAAGTCTATTGATATACAGCTGGAGGGCCTCACGGAATTATTAGGGATGTTTTTACCCGCTTGTACCGGCAGCATACTATCAATTCTGGCATCTTAACAAAAAGAAACCAATGGTTTGATAAAGAGTGCAAGGGTGTCAAACAGGCTATTTAGCAGTGTCACAGATGTTTCCATTTAGTGAGTGATTCTGGCACATTGCTAAAGTTACTGGATTTTTAAAAATTCTATAAATCAATGATCTGTGGGCAAGATAATTTCTGCCCATGGTGCATGACTTTCTTGCATCTCTCTTCCAGTGCAGCCAAAGATGCCTGCCATTTTGGGCTGCTGTGGGAAGGGGAATACGAGAAAGTCGTGCTTCATGGGTGGAAATCCCACAGAAAAGCTCAGGTAGTTCCAAACGTTAATCGTCACAGAGTTGAAATAGCAAGATGCACGTCTGGACCACAGAACTTTCAGAGCTGAAGAAAGACACCCAGATATCCCTATTCCACTCCCGCCATACAATAGGGTCATCAGAACACACCCAAAGCTCTCCAGTTACATTTGTTCATCAAAATGAAGCAATATACAGAATTAAAGAAACGGCTTTTTGGCTTTTGGTTCCGGCTACAGTAAAGTGAAGGCACTTGCAGGCTGTGCTCTGTTGCCAGGGTATTTATTTTTTTATTGTGGTCCCCCCCCCCCATTATATACGTGTTTTATGGGTTTTAAAGAAAGTTAAGGTAGTTTTGAGGAGTAAGAAACAACTGGAGTGCAGAATGACAGAAACATTACATTATAAATACTATTAAGCAAACCTGTTGGTGCCAGCAAAAAAGAAGTCATAAAATAACTATGACAATTCTTATTTTCAGAGATATTTTAAGTCCTTTTGCAAATAGCACCCTGGGAGACAGATGGGTTTTAGAAGAATTAATAAGTAATTAATTTTACAATTAAAAAACTACCCCAGTGAAAACAGATGTTTGATTATTTGAAGACTTGGAATAATTACTTTGCCCCAACAAATTTAACAACATGCCCAAAAAGGGGCTCAATGGTTTTCTTTTTTAAAAAGCACCATCACGTCCAGAACTGATAGCAAAATCCTAATACATTTTCCTGGGAGTAAGCAACACTGAATAGACCAGTTTAGGATTGTTCTCTGAGCATGTGGGGATCCTTGTTGAAGCAAGGCCAAAGCTTAACTGCTACCAGACGGGTCAGTGTAGCCAAGTCTGATGCCACTAATCATGTGCAACAACATGGGATCTTGACTCCAGGCCTTACCCATCAATGCAGTCGGACATCTGTTTGGAGTGTGCACCTACAAAGATTTGCATATGTAATGATACACGCACAGTACAAGCATGTGTGGGCTGGGCTAATGAACTACTGGTGTTGTCTATGAAGCATAGCAAATCTCCATGGTACATCACAAGGCTGTTTCTCAAAATTTCATGCAACGTATATCATGCATTATGAGAGATTGCTGTTCACACAAAAAAGTGCAAAGCAATGGAACTAGCCACACAATTAATTACAACCAGGACTAAAGATCGTAACTCTTTAAATAAACGGAGGATGCTTAAGAATGTGAATCATGGTCAACCAACCTGCAAATAGTCTTCCTGCAGGATCCACTTTTCCATCATTGAACCGATTGTTGGGCTTATCCTGATCCACGTTATTAATGGTGGTTACAGATTGGTTTTCCCAGTTCAGAGCAGCAAACCGGGTTCCTTGCGTAATAATGTAACCACCACATTCGCGAAGAGCCACCAAGCTCACAAAAGCATCTGGAAATTGGGGATGAGAAGTTGTATGAAAGAAACAGCAGTAGAGTAAGTGCTTTCATACTGCCTTGAGAACCTTTTGTTGAAAGATGGCAGATATTTAGGACTGGGCCTGGTCAGTGCCTGGATAGAAAACCTCCTAGGAATCCTATGTAAGCCACCTTGAGTTCCCTAAAACTAATACGGTGGGATATGAACACAATAAAATACTAAAATCGATAAAATATAAGATACAGTGCTTGTACATGTACATAAATACAGCATTTGGCAAATGGCTTGAATTCTATAATCAACACATTTCCTCACCAACTTAGACAAATCTACTCTGACTGCATCTTTATTCTTTTCCTTGGGTCTTGTTTTCATTTGAGTTCTACATAGTAACATCATACATCTCTTTCTTGTATTTCTGGAACTTCTAGCGTCACTTTGTAATAAAAATTGCTCTCACCCCACTTTTCCGTACTTAGGTATGCCGGTATATTACATACACAGACCAAGGGTCATTTGGGGGGGGGGACGCGGGGGGAAGCCATCCCCCCGGGTGAGGTGCGGGAGGGCGGGGCCTGGAGCTCCCTGCTGGTGCCCGCTGGAGGTCGCCGCCGGCTGTGGGGAGGACACACTTCCGGTGATGTCAGGGGGTGTGGCATATGCTATGAGTTATGCTAATGAGTCCCCCTAGCTCTTTTTCTACGAAATGACCCCTGACACAGACACATATCTGATCAAATAAGCTCAGTCTCATAAACTTAGAAGCAGGCACCAAAATACATTTGCTAGACGTCTTTGTGATTTTGGCTACTTTGCTGTTCCACAGTCTAAGCAGGAACAAGTCCAATATTCTCTGTACGATGCCACACTGGATCTCAACAGTGTGCTCTTTGCGGAGGTGCCCTTCAAAACAGTTTGGAAACGAAGATAGATCAAACTGCCACCACCCTGTTGATGATGTACTCATCTCATCCTGGACCCATTTTGGTCATCTGCACTGACTCCCAGTGCAGCTTCTGCCAGGTTGAACTCAAAGTGCCAATTAAAATTTTACAAACCTACGCAGTCCAAACATTGCGCAATTTCGGAAACGCCTCTTTCCATATGAGCCTCTCTATTTGCCCAGACAAGATCTGTGAGCGCCCAAAACTCAGTACTCATTTGTGGCATCAAAGTTGTGGAGTTCCTTCTCTGGAGACTCAGAAAACAGCAGTAGTGAATTGTTTTAGGCTGCTTTTTAAAACATTTCTATTTTATCAGTCCTTGGCAAACAGTGTTTGGAAAATGTCATATTCTGGTATTTCCCCCTCCATAAACGCATGATAGGTGTGGGCATTTTATGGTGGGTTTTTGAAATATCTCTGGTCTTATGCCTTTTTCAGAAAGTTTCAAAATTGTTAATGTATGCCATGTTCTTGTGGGCCTTGTGCAGAAAAATGGTATAGAAATGTTTGACTAAATAAAATACAGGAATGATCTACTTAATCAATCCATTGTGCAGTTCTGACCTCACACCTTTATATCCCTTTTAAATAGGTCAGATAAATGTGAGATAGGATCTGAATGGGTAATTCACAATAAAGATCTTCAGTATAAGTGCATTTCTGCTCACAATTAAGCTACTTAAATCCCACTGGTTTCAGTGTAATTTAAATAGCCAAAATATGTGCAGGATTAATGTGTGAGTCTTGCTTGGACCTAAATTCAAACGTTTGATAGAGACTTCCACAAGTTCCTGACTGGGAATTCCACTCTACCATTTGTCTGATCGGATTGTGTTCCAGATATCTGATTTCCTATCCAATTTTGAAAACTCTGTTTTGTCCTCCAGATGAGAACTGAGTTTCTGTGATTGAAGTCCATATACATATCTCACTTCAAAATCCCTCTTATCTTCTGTTATAACCTGAATACTTCTCTGACACTGACAAGAATGGTTGCTGAGGGATAACTCTGAGAGTAGTTGACAGTCCCTTCAGGAAATCCTGATTTAGTATTGAAAGACAAGATTTCAACTTGAAAGTCTATATCTTCAGATCAACAATACTCCATGCCTCCACAGCAAGGCAACATATGTGTGGCTGATTCAGAACCACGCTTCCACAGCACCAAGATCCATGGATGGTATCTTCATCAGATAAACTCATAGGAAAGAGGTGCTTGAGATAATCTATTAGGATTTCAACAACCCAATTATCCAGCTGAACATATATGTGCCAATCCATCCAGCATATATACTTTGATGGACACCATCCTCACAAACTGTTGGTCCTTAGGGTGTCACAAAACTCTTTGTTGCTTTTTCTTTAACAAGCACTCTTTCCAATTTTAAGAGTGTGCTTATATACTTGAGGTGTATGCTCCAGGGATGCATATAGAGCAGTGGGTTTCTCCAGGTATGAACTGAAAAAAGCAGTGCACTTTGCACCGTATTCTGGACCAAGTCACTAACTGGCACCCAACTCGAAAAATGTGTTGTAGAAAACAGAATTATTGTGGCTTTCAGTCTTTAGATTGCTTCTATTTATTCCAAATAGAGTAAATTGTTGCTGGGTTACTAAATGACGTACTGTGGCTTTGAGATGATATTTCAGTTTTTAGCTATTGCTATTAGTCATCATGTTGGTTTTAAATGCATTTATTTACTAGAGTTATAGTTACCTTTCTCAGACTCAAAGTGCATTACACAAATGTAAGCTGATACAATCACTGTGATGAGTCATTTAATAAGCAGTGTACTAGAATACCGAAAACAAGCAAGCATCATGTATTAGAGGGCAGATATAATGCAGAGAAATCGTATTACATCAGCAGAAAACATCACAGTGACAACAGGATAATATGTGCAGCACAGATAATATGTCCTATACCCAGGGGTTAGTCCATGATGTCCCTTTATACAGTGCCTTCCTGAACCACTCTGTTATATTATATTACCTTTACAGAAAAAAACTCTCCTGAACAACTCCATGATAAGAGCGTGAGAGCCCTCCTGACCTCATCAGGCAGGCCATTCTGTTAAGAGCCAGTGTGGTGCAGTGGTTAAGAGTGGTGGTCTTGTAACTAAGTTCAAATGCCCACTCATGCCATGGAAGCTTGCTGGGTGATCTTAGGCCTGTCACACTCTCTCAGCTCAACCTAGCTCACAGGGTTCTTGTGACAATAAAATGGAGGAGAGGAGAACAATAAAAGATGCTTTGGCTTCCCATTGGGGAGAAAGGCAGAGGTCATAAATAAATAGGTCCACAACATGGGACCACACCACACAGACATCATATTGTTGTGGCAACATTAAATTTAATGTTTGTTTTGTTTTTTCTTATTAATAATTCTGCGTAAGCGTCTTCAAAAACTTTACTGCCTGACTGCACGGCACATATGTCTGTTCACATATTCTCATCTTGTATTTACTTATTTACTTATTCACATTTTCAGCCCGCCCTTCCCAGAAGTGGGCATCATGTCATTTATACAAAAATTTTGTTAATAAAATAACATTAAAATTTAAAGCATCTTCATAAATATTAAAATGGTGGTCACAGCTAATAACCAGAGAGAGAGAGAGAGAGAGAGAGAGAGAATTTCTCTGGTTGTGGGAGGTTCCTAGCAATAGCCAGTAGTTGTTAACAGAGTGTTAACAGAGTGACAACCACCTTAGAGAGGAGGAGGAGGAGGAGGAGGAGAAGAAGAAGAAGAAGAAGAGGAGATTGGATTTATACTCCGCCTTCACTCGGAGTCTCAGAGCAGCTTACAAACTCCTTTCCCCTCCCCGCAACAGACACCTTGTGAGGTAAGTGGGGCTGAGAGAGCTCTGACAGAAACTGCCCTTTCAAGGACAGCTCTTGTCAGAACTATGGCTTGCCCAAGGTCATCCAGTAGCTGAAGATGCTTTAAATTTAATAAATCCATCTTCGATGGATTTATTTAGCTTCATCCGACTCTGCCACAACCAAACAGCCACAGCCTCCAAAGCCTCGGCCAAATTATCAGGGGTGGAGGACAGATGGCCTTCCAATAACAGATAGAGCTGGGTGTCATCTGCATATCGATGGCAACCCAGCCCATACCTCCGGGCCAACTGGGCAAGGGGGCGCATATATATAAAAAATATATGCGCCCCCTTGTTAAATATATATATATATATATGTGTGTGTGTGTGTGTTAAATATATATATGTTAAATATATATGTTAAATAATGTTAAATATATATGTTAAATAATGTTAAATATATATGTTAAATAAATATATATATTAAATAGTATTGGCGAGACGATTGCCCCCTGCGGCACTCCACATTCCAGTGGGTATCGCAGGGAGGACTTCTCGCCCAGCGCCACCCTCTGCCCCCGACCATGGAGAAAGGAGGAAATCCACTGCAAGGCAGTCCCCTGAACTCCTACATCAGCAAGGCAGTGGGTCAGTAGATCACAATCAACCATGTCGAACGCTGCTGTCAGACCAAGTAATAACAGCAGCGCTGACCCTCCCCGGTCCAGATGTCTATGGAGGTCATCCATGAGGGCGACCAGAGCCGTCTCCATCCCATGGCCAGGGTGGAAGCCAGACTGGAAAGGATCCTACTTGCATCGAAGGGAGCTTTGCCTCTTGAAAGCTTGTCCCCTGGCAATCTTGTTGGTCCTTAAGGCGCTACTGGACTCGAATTCTGCTCTTTTACTGCAGACCAACACATCTACCCTCCTGAAACATTCTCATCTGTCACACAGCAGCCCCAAGAGCTGCATGCACAGGGAAAAGTTCAGAAGCTACCACAGTCTCTGCAGTAACTTCCTCCCAGAGAGTTCCAAAAAGGCATGTGATGCTACTTCTGATCACCTAATTTTTAAGGTCACTCAAAAAGGAATATTTTGGTATGACTAAAAGCAAAATCAGTAGAGTTTTTTGACATCCCACTCTTACCCACGGGAACAGCTTGTACTTCCTTAGTAAGAGAATTCCATCGAAGGACCTTTTTGCCAGATACATCCACAAAGAGGAGTGTATTTCCCTTTTCCTCCCATAAAGGCGATTCTCCAAGCCTGCAGTGCGCCTCCACGACAACCTCAACTTTTTCAGAAGACATTGCCTTTGGAGAAAAGCAGCAATGCAGGTAACAAATAGGAAGAAAGATGAAAAGGAATTTCTGTACAAATTCAGACATTCCAATCCTAACATCTTTATGTAGAAGTAAGCCTCATGGATTTCAATGCAACTGTTTACAAACAAATATGGACCAGAAAATTATGGATTCTAGACAGTGGCAAAGGCATGTTATGATTTTAGATGTACATCTATGGCACAGGAAGTCCCTTATTTGAGAACTTTCCAGAAATATATTCCTAGAGTCAACTGTTGGGACCAAATGCTTTACTAGATAGTTCTTTGGTCTGATGCAGCAAGGTAATCCTTACATTCTTCATTATGTTAGGAAAGAATACGAGTTCCCAACTTCAACCTGACTCTCTATTAGGTGCAAGGCTACAGTTATTTCACCATTACTTCCTCGGTTCAGCTATCTGTCTTAAAACAAAACTTGCTATTTGATAGCAAACAGATATATGCTGCTTCTCCACTACTGTCAGAAAAATCCCTGCTAGGGTATGTGCATTTGTTACTGCGATCTCGGAGTCTGAAATATTCCTTTTCACTTCTATGCGAACCTAAACGTTTGTATAAATTTGATGCTGATGTAACCCATAATGTGCTTACAGGTACTGGTTAGTGCAAGCACAACACATTTTACAGGACAGCAAAATAAATGGTTTATGTTTTCTAAGAACACAATCCAGTCAAAGTCAGTGCACTTTAAAAATCCCTTGAGTGCAATTCCCTTGAGTGCAATTCCAAAGAATACCCAAGGCAGCTCACAAAAAAAATTAAGCATAAATGCTTAAAATATCAGACGAGGCCCAAGACAATCCACAAAGCCACTCTAAAAACATACTCATAAAACAATAATAAAACAGCAGAAGAAACTTAGCTTTGGCAGGAATGTGTCCTGAGGTTTCATTTCTGATACAATTCAGTAATTATATTTGTACAACCTGGCAATGAAAAGACCGATAGTAGGTGACAAAAGTGCCTTACAGAATCCAGTACCAGTTGAGTAGATGGATCAGAAGCTCTGGATGGAGAAGCTCTTGTGGAACAGCTGAGATTTCTGGACTACAGCTCCTGAGAGCTCATGCTAGCATCTGACTCTCAAACCTCACAACCAGCCTTCTAGGCTTTACAGGCCAATTTAATTACTCTTTTTAAATTTCAGCAACCTTAAAGCATCTGACAGTGCTAATCTTTAATGTCATGTGTTATCTTCAGAGTCAAACATTGCTGCATTCCTGCTGAATACGATCTTTTTTGTGAGTTAGTAAAGTAGGGCAAACTTCAAACTTGGCCTGATAGTAAAGTAGGGCAAACTTCAAAGTCCTTGTTTAGCATTCTATCCACAAACTGGCTGGTGGGGAGGTGGGGGTGGGTGGGAGTGTGATGGCTGCGGTTTAGTTTTAGTTCTGGCCAATGGCTCTGTAACATAACAAAAAATTAAACAAGGGCAAATTGAAATACAATGTTATAAAGGGCACCTCACAATATCATATAGCTAAAACTGAAGTTATACTAATGTCTTTTCTGAACTTTTTGGCACAGAAACTTTCAAATGGCTATTTTGATTCTGTCAAGACTTGGACTCAATAGGGACAGTTTAGTTCACAACAGAAAGGCATTGTCCCTTCTTACTGCTTGTGCACAGTATTCAGGTTTGTCCTGATTTTCTAAGGACACACCCACCCACACCAAGACATGCATCTGTCGTTGGACAATCGTGGATTCTCTGTTGGCAATCATGTACTCCATTATCCCTATGGGCGATCATGCACTCTCTATAAGCAATCATGCACTCTCTATAGGCAATCATGTGTTTCTATGGGCAATCGCTGTTCTTAGTTTTGGCTCAAGGTGGCTTACCATTAAAACTACCACAATATTAAAACTACCACAATATTAAAAGCAAGCCATTGGACAAAAGCAGTGTTAAGAACAATCCACAAAACGGAAGCAGACCATTTTGTACTTTCAAAAGTCGACACATAACACTTCTATGGCGAATTAACAGTACAACAGTCCTGGGACTGGGAGGATTGTTCGGGATAGCTATTCAAGGAACAGTAGCTGTAAAAAGTAACTCTCTCCCGCATGCTCACGGAGCTCTGTGCTGTTGACTTTTGGCAGCACAGAATGGAAGAGGAGACGGAACCTTTAAGGAGGAGGGGCCGGCGGCGGCAGAGAAGCCTGACTTAGAAAGGGGGGCTGGGCCACTACAGAGGGTGGTGGCTGGGCTCGGAAAAGCAGAAGGGGCAGAATTCAAAAACTGCGCTCGAATCTAATCTCTTTAGACGCTGAGACAGGGATCTTTGCTATAATGAGGCAGGTCGACTTTGCAGCCCTTTCTCCAAGATCCTGGACCTGCTTCTGCAGGCGTTTAGAGTTAGTTGAGGCCAGACTGGGGGAAGCTGCATTAAAAAGCAAAGCTCCCCGGCGGCCGGTGTGCCGTGAAAGAATTGGAGAGCTTGATGGTTCTGGCTTTTGCGGTCACGAATGCCAAGGTTTACTCACCCACTCTAGAGACTACAGATGCGGCGGCGACCGTTCCATTCCCAGCTTCCTAGGCCGGCCCACGAGGCTCCAGGCGCTGTGTTGCATATTTGCAGAGTGTCAGATTTAGAGGTGAAGCAGTAATATAGGGAGAGATACTTCCAAATAATTTTGGTGTTCAGGGCATCAGTGTCAGGGCCTTCAATTAACTCCTACACAACCACACACAGTCGTCTTCAAGTGTTTCCCCCCCTTTCTTCAGTGCCCAAAGCCACAAAAGCCTTTGCCACCAACCTTCGAAGTTTGTTGATGGGGTAACAGCGGGCATTCCTTTTAGCAGCAACCAAATTAAATGGTAGGTGCACACTAAAGCCCAGCCAAGGAAAGGATGGAACTACAGTAGGAAGTCAAAGCAGTAGATAGGTTTTATATCCCATTTTTCTCTTCCTTAAGGAGTCTCAAAGCAGCTTACAATTGCCTTCCCTTGCCCTCCCCACAACAGACACTCTGTGAGGTGGGTAGGGCTGCGAAAGTTCTGAGAGAACTGTGACTGGCCTAAGCCCACCCAACAGGCTGCTTGTGGAGGAGTGGGGAATCTCAAACCCTGTTCTTTGGGTTAGAGTCCCCCAAGCTTAACCACTACGCTATGCTGGCTCTCCGGGGTTCCTGAGGGGGTGCCAAAATGGAAAAGGACAAGTCAGAGATGGAAGTAGACAGTTGCAAGAGGCCTTTTGCTTCACCCTCCCTGGGTGGCTTGGGAGAGCTACAGATCCCACCTTCCTTCTCAGGACTCTCCAGGATCTACACGCATACATTTTGGGAGTCCTGGATCAGGGACTAGATCTAATGCAGCACATTGTAATCTGAGGGTAGAGTGTGCTAAGCTACATATGCGATTTTGAGATTCTTTCCCCCCAAAGGGGGATCCTATGTACCTGCTGCGCTGAAGCTTTTTCAAGCTAAAGTAATATCTCAGCTTCTTTATGGACCCTTTTTAGGTATTTTGGCTGCTAGCCTGTACTCCTTTGAAAAAAATACAATCTAAATTTCTTCATGCCATCTTACAGGTTCCCCCTGGTGTTCCTAACTCCCTTCTTTGCCTAGAAACGGGACAAATGAGAATTGAGGTGAGAATTCTGTTGGCCTCTGCCTTTCAGTGGCTTAGGAGACACACAAATCCAAAAGACCTTCTTGCTGTGAAGGAGTGGGGAATCAAACCGGTTCTCTCAGATTAGAGTCCATGCTCGTAACCACTACACCAAACTGGCTCTCTAAACTGGACTCCATGCTATCTGCTTAGTTCTGTTAACTTTAAGGGCTTGGTTAAATAACTTGTTTTTCGCCAAGGGGGTTTGGGACATGTAGGCGCTCTAATTTTGAAACAGGAACAGGAAATAACTCCTGTTTACATGGGTTTTGGTTAATCACTGTGGAGATTAGAGCGGTTGTTTCACCTGCCCATCTTCTCGGCCTCTCTACACAGCTTGTTCAGAGGTACTGTGAAAAGTGAGAACATTCAGCAAGAAAATCTACCCCATTGTCCAGAAAAGGGCAAAGGGTAGGGGACTGCTAACAAACAAGTTTTATGGTCCACTGAACTAGAACACCAATGTTATTTTCCCCCACTGGCCAAACCTCTGGACTTCTGAACTTTGAACTCATGGGTATAATCCATTGTAAGAGTTTAATGCTCCCCTCTAGCATGGGTCCCCTCCAGGGGATGGCCTCATTGGTAAACCATTTGTGTTTTCAGTAGCATGCTGAGTAACAATACTGTTCCTATATTTGTTTGATCACCAATTACATACCAGAACTTATCTTGGACTCTCCAAAGCAATATAACAGGAACTTCATTTACAGAGCACGTGCAAAGGGACTTTCCTCAGAACTCATTCTGCCAATTCAATTCTCGCCCAGCCTTAAATTCGTAGGGGGGCAGTCATAGGTGTTGCATCTTTCCTGGTTTCTAAGGAAAAGCAGCCCAAATCCCCTGCACAAAGGAAAGAGCAGTACACAGGTATTTTGCCTTCTCCTGACTACTAGATCTTCTTAAAGCAAGCACTGATGAGGGATTATTGTTAAGCACCCCCCCCCACACACACACTAATGCTAGCTTCTAGCATCCAAGGTTGATCATCCTCCCTCTTTAGGTAAAGGCTGACTATTGCTGCCTATGGCCTTGGCTGGCTAGGCACTCCGGATAGTCTTGTTTTGCTCTTTGCTTACTGTAATATTCTTTTCTAGGCAGCCAGAATAGACATTGATGGCCGGGGCAAAGACAGTATACCTTCGTCCATTTCCCTTCTGGTTCTGTCAGTTCATTCTCACAGTACACATAATTCTCAGGTAAGTACTCTCCTGTTGTACTACTGTGGAACTAAACTGCTGTAGGTTAAAGATCGATGTAAGTAACCTGACAACTCCAACCCTGGGGGAGAAAACCACCCTACTGAACTTGTATTTCATCAGGGGAAGCATTGGTGTATTTCAGATTTAATGGCAAACTATGGCTCACTGAGTGAACTTTTTCCCTTCCTGCACAACCAGTTAATTAAACTATTATTTTTTTTCATATAAAAGAGGGGAAAAATAATCAGTTACGATCTGACAAACTATTATTGCATCCTACAAACCAGCCAGCCTCAGCAATCCTCATTAGTTTGACAGTTCTAATGAAAGTTACTATGGTTTGCTTCAAAAACAAATCTAATTAGCTGGCAACACATGATGGGAAGACCTAGGGCCAACCTAAACATGACAGTGAACGCGTGGCTGCCATGAGTTTGCAGTCAGCATTTTAAAGCTCTGCTTCTCCATGCCTATTCACCCAAATAGTGATTAACACATGGAATTCACTGCCACAGGAGGTGGTGGCGGCTACAAGCATAGATGGCTTCAAGAGGGAACTAGATAAACATATGGAGCAGAGGTCCATCACTGGCTATTAGCCATAAGGTATAGATGGGAACTCTGGGGCAAGTGTGGCTCTGTCTTCTTGGTGCTGGGGGGGGCAACAGTGGGAGGGCTTCTAGTGTCCTGGCCCCACTGGTGGACCTCCTGATGGCACCTGGTATTTCTGGCCACTGTGTGACAGAGTGTTGGACTGGGCCATTGGCCTGATCCCACATTGGCTTCTCTTATGTTCTTATGTTAAGTGCCAAAACAACCATGGGGTGTGTGTATGTGTGCACTGTGCACCCCCCCCCCCGGTGGCTCTTTTGGCACTTGAAAAGGCATGCGGTTGGAAGGAAAGTATGCTGAGCCCCACTTGCTCCTTATGATGTGTCTGAGAATCCACTGACCCTCACTTTCTCCCGAAGTGATTTCCTTATAGTAGAGCCAATTCCAATAAGTATTAACAGACACCAAGGGTACTTCACACTTTACAGAATTTCTTCACAGGGCACATTCTCCTGTCGGAATTAATGTGTTACTTATGTGTAGATTGTCATACGTGATGTATATTGCGCATACAACAAAATGCACTAGTAGCATCGTCACATGCTCCCTGTCTAAGAATTTTATGACCTCTGAAGAGTCTTTTTGAGGATATCGAAAACGCTCAAGTGACTTTATCGAACAATACATTTGTTTTACAATGTCTCCACAAATGTCAAAGCATTTCAAACATG